AAAAGGATTTGGGACCAGGACTGGTCTGACAGCTGACTGGGGTTGGGGTGTGTGTGTGTGTGTGTGTGTGTGTGTGTGTGTGAGAGAGAGAGAGAGACAGTGACAGAAATAAAGAAAGACAGAGAGACAGAGAGAGAGCTGGAAATGGAGTCATCATAAAGCAAAATTATATAGTAGGTCCTGTGGGTTTGGGCATCACTGTCCCCACTCCTCTGTAATTCTTCTTCTGTCCTGCCTGTTCTTTGTACTCACCCTATAGACATTCTGAGTAATGTCCCCTTATTGATGTTATTTGATGTCTTTTCCATCAGTAAGCACTTACCTATGTTTCACCCTATTATGTTGTAGTTATTAAGTGGCGTGAGCACAGGATTGGAATCAGAATGGTAGGATCCAAATCTTAAAACTGACTTTGCCCATGAATGTGACTTTGGGACAGTGTCTTAATTTCTCTGCATCATTTTTCCTGCTTGTGAAGGGAAAATCTTGACTCTGACTTTCCAGAGTGGCCTTGGACATTAAGTGACATAAGCTTTCAGACAGCCCCTGTCCTCAGCCTGGGAACTGCTTTGAAATCAAAGAGGCTGAGGAGTAAAGGGGAACTGGGGATCAGGGGGTCATCTGATGGCTGGGGACTCTCCTCCGATGACAATCTACAGATGGCATATTGTTGTGGACTCAGGTGAGGGTACCCTTTTGTTTTATGGTGTGCTCATGAGAATGTGAGATTTTCTGACTTTTTTTGTGGGTATGAGGTCATCCCTACCCATTCCTCTACCTCCTGAGGCTCCTCAGCTCCGAGAGCAATCTCTCCTTAGGTCAAATTCAGGGATTCGTCAACTTTCTTTGCGCCTTTGCTTCCAAATGTTATACTTTTTTCTACCAGTCAGCTTCCTAAATAAGCATCTGAGATCATCAGAGTTACGTCTTGCTAGCAGCTGCCCTGATACAATTTTTGTCCGAGGCCTCTCCTCTGCAGAATCTTGGGTGAAGGCCCAGACCACCCTCTCATTTGGCTGGCTCACTTCTTCTAGGTCTGCTCTCCATTCATTTTATCCTTCTCCTTTGCTTTCCACTGATTTTTGGGGTTCATTTCTTAGCAATTCTGTTAAAATGAAATATCTCCTTATGAGAATCTAATTTAGCCTGGAAGATGGAGAAAATGTCCTTCTAACAGACATGTCATGTTTCTCTGGATGGGACCCTACTCCCAGGGGCAGCTGCATGAGTGTGTGACCCATGGACAGGACCCCATGCTTACAAAGACCCTTGGCTTAAGGGCCACTGTCACCCTTGGCTTAAGGGCCACTGTCACCATCTTGAAATCCTAAATAATTCTTAACAAGAGCCTGGCTTTTTCATTTTTAGCTGATCGGGCTTCCCAGCCTGTTAGTTTCCCCTCCCTGCAACTCCTTCTTGCTAACCCCTACAATGTCTCTAGGTCTTTGCTTTACCAGAGGCGGTAACATGCTAATAGCTGCAAGGCCCAGCTCCCCCAGTCTCTCTGCTCAGCCTGGTGTCTTCACTCTTGTCTCAAAGAACCTGGCTCTGAAGTTGTAGCTGCTCTCCTGGGGCACTACGGAGTGTACTCCTCTGACCCCCACCCAGTTAACAAAATCCTTTGAGTCATGTGTGATGCTCCCCACGATGTTTACTGATGTAACGGGCAGGACAAACAGGACGCTCTGAAGCCCTTGTCTACACAGCTCCATGCCAGGGCAAGGTTGGATTATCCTTCCTTGTTTGTGAGTCCCTGTGGGGTGTGGGCGAGCTTTTCTATGTGGGTGTAAGTGTATATACTAGGGAGTTTCTGTTTGTATATGCTGTTTGTGGGTTGGACGGGTCTCAGGCAGAATTGTGAAGTTTATGTCTCATGTTCCCAATCCACCACGCGCATCTACTCAGCCCTCCCCTCCATGATCCACGTTCCAAATTCCTGTTCCTCCCCTCACCCTCTCCCCTCACTCCCCAGTGACCACCTAGGGGAAGGGTGGAGAAGAGAAGGGCTGAATGTAACAATACACCTTCCCTGGATACTGTACATGTAGGGTCTCCTGTTAGTCACACTTACAGCAATGGTAAGTGGTGGGTATTGCTGATGACCTTGTGTAGTGGAGGGGACTGAACTTCCCACAGATTCATTTGCCCAAGGTCATCTGATCATCAGCAATCCAGGGATTGGGATCAGGTTTATCTGGCTCTAAAGTCTGGTCTTTTCCCCAACCCTGCTCATCACAGGAATCTGGCATTTCCTCTGGACAAAGTCTAGCTGAGCCCCATCGGATCCAGCGTAATGACACTCTAACAACAAATGGGGCTTGTTGTTGTCAAAGAATCCAGGCTAATGTACCAGTATCATGAGTTTCTTCCCCTCTCTGGCCTCAACATTCTTGTCACCAGGTGATGTTTGAGGCTCCTTTCCAAATCTAGGAGCTTAGGATCATCCTGGGAATTTTCCTCACCTCACAAACAAAATATCTGCATTTTAATATATGTTTGCAACAACTGAACCTCCTCCACCACTGAGCTGTTGAGGCTGAAATACTTAGTGTGAGGTCCCAGATTTCAGGCTGGGGGGCAGAGGGAGATATGGGGATGGGGATGCATCCCAGTGGCTGAGGGTCCAGTCCAGTCCGGGCAGGAATGGGTGCTGTAGACACCCCTCAGGGGGCTCTCTGGCTTAGGAGAGAAAGGCAGGGGTTTCAATATGATTTTAAATGCTAAGCAGTAAATCAACTAACCCTTCTTGTTTTGCCTCTTCTCTCCACTGACGCACATTGATCTGTTTTCTCTGGCCTCTCGAGTCCTCTCTTGTTTCTCGTTCCTTTTCTCCTCTGTTCAACGGCCTCCCTTCCATCTACCTCTCTCAGGAGCCGGCTGGGCTGGGTGCCCGCCAGTCCCAGGCTTATCCCTGCTTTCCTCCTGCCCCTCCCGCTCGGTCGGTCCCCCTTCTCCGTAGCAGCTACACCCCTCCTATGCCCCCTCCCCCAGCCCCAGTTTTCCCTTCTCAGTCGCGTCCCCCAGTCCAGCGGCTCTGAGTCCTCATCAGTGCTCTAGCCCCCCACGCACTCGGCCCCTAAGTACCTCAAAAGCAGAAAAAGAGCCCCACAACCCCCTGACCCTCCACCCTTGTGCCGGGCCTGGGAGGACCCGGTCCCCGCCCCCCGCAGGGCTGACCCGGCGGACAGCGGACTGCGCGTCCCTGCCTGGCCCACCCCCACTATCTCCCGGGTCCGAGGAGCTGCGGCGCGCACTGGGGGAGACGCCCAAATCTCACCTATGACCGTGAGCCTGGTGCCGGAGCCGAAATACTGCTCATAGGAACACAGAGGTCCAGACCCGCACGCAAACCCCTGCAGCGCCCCAGCCGCTTCCCGCTCCCGCTCCTGGCGGGAGCCCACCCGGGGCCGGGCCAGGAAGGGCCCTGGGGTCGCCGCCTTCCCTTCCGACCCCGCAACCCTCGTGTCGGGTCCCGCGGCCACTCACCCAGGACAGTCAGCCGGCTGCCGGCCCCGAAGGACAGGGCAGAGGCTGCAAAGCAGGGCCCCGGGCCCCCTCCCCAAGACCTCGGCCGCGCCGCGCGCCGCGCTCACCTAGAACCGTCAGCCGGGTGCCCGCGCCGAAGTACTGGGTATTTTGGCTCACAGCCCCCTGCCTCAGCACAAAAACAGGCCCGCCATCCGCTGCCCCACCGCCCGCCCCGGCGCGCCCGGGCACCCTCGCTTACCTAGCACCGTCAGCCGGGTGCCCCTGCCGAAATACAGAGTTTCTGCACTCACGGCCCGGAGCCCCAGCACAAAAATCTGGCGCTGCCCTCTCCCGCCGGCCCTGCTCCCTCGAAGAACCGGGAGTCCCGGCCCAGGCGCTGAGCCCCGCCTCTGGGCACAGCCCCTGACGGAGCTGGGCAGCTGCCCACCTGTGTCCATCCCACCCCGCGGAGCGCTTGCCCCCCAGCTAACCTCCTTACCCAGAACCGTCAGCTTGGAACCGGCCCCAAAGTACAGCTGTCCTGTGTTTGCACAGCTCTGGGGACCCAGGCACAAACCCGCCTTCCCAGACTAGGGTCCTGGAAGGGGCCAGCACCCACTCCTCTAGGGCCAGGATCCTGAGTGGTCCAGGCTGGGCACCCCACCAGCCTTCCCACCGGGAGAGGCTTTCTTACCTAGTACGGTGAGCCGGGTCCCTGGCCCAAAGTGCTGCTCACTGTATAAGCACAGTGGTCAGGGGCTGCCAAGAATTTCTGCTCCTCCTGCTTCCCTTGGCACAAGCTGGGGATGCACTGTCCTTCTCCTTCCTGGGCTTCTCTCCTGCCACCTCCAGAGCTAGCTGGACATAGTCATCTAGATGCTACAGGAGGTCATCTCTAGTTTGCAGAGGAGAATCAACTTGGCTTGGGGACAGTACAGTGGACGTATAAAATGAACTGAGCTTGGTGCTGGGGGTTGGGGCTGGAGTTGGGACGTGTTCCAGGAAGGACCCTGTCTCTTACTACTTATAGGACCTGCAACTTTTCTGGCCTTCTTTCCTTCATCTGAAAAAGGGGGTACTACGTTTTGTGCAATATTGTTGTGAGTTCTTAATAAATAACATATGTGTAAGTACTTTTGTCAAGGGCAGGTTTTTATGAAAAGTGCTGGATGATGACCCGGATTCGATGTGTGGGCCCTTCGTGTTCCTGGGAAGCTGTCTGGAGCTGGGAGATGTAGAGGTGTTCACCCAGTCCAGGTCCCTGCAAGAGCACTTCAGGGACCAGCTCTTGAGACACCTCCTAGCCAGTTCCCATCCAGGAGCTGCGTTCCCAGGGCAAGGTGGAGGTATTTTCCGAGGCAGAGCTTTTTGTAAAAGCACCCCCTCTACCTGAGTCATCGTGCCCCCCCCCCCAGCTCCCACAATGTTACAACAGGATACAAAAATGTTTCTTTCCTTCTGGTCCCCTCCCCCCAACCACTGGGCAGAGACAGGAAGTGCAGGTGACAGAGGTTTGACTGAGTGGGGCTGGGAGCCAACTCAGAGTACATTTAAAGTGGGGAGGGGCTGGGGAAAGTATGGTGCTGGTGGAGGGAGGGGAGGGGCAGAGAGGCTGTATGGCAGAACATACACCACTGTGAGGAGACCCTCTGTGTCACCAGGTCTCCCCTCTGGGACTCACGGTGCCCACCTGCACAGAAGGGCATTTATAGTGACGTGGGGCGGGAGGAGCGAGGGGTGGACTCCAAAAAGCAGGTGACGGCAGCTTGTGGCATGGGGACAAGCAGACTCTGTAATTCCCCACTGCTCCCCGAACAGAGTCCAAGCTCCTTATGCTTCATGTATCCCACACACTGCATGAACACCTCCTATGTGCCAGGCCCCATGCTGGTGGCAAGGACCTGAGTTCACCTCTGAGGCGCACGCAGCAGCCTGCCTAACATCTCCTCCCTCCTATCTCTGAACCTCGTCCCCGTCCCGTCCCCGGCTAAGCACCCTCAAGTACCTGACCCTGTGGTTTCAGCTCTGGTTCATGTCTCTGACTGTCACGACCACCCTCCCACAGAGTTGATTAGACCAATTCTTTCTGTGAAAAGTTTGCCACATTCTCAGACGCTTCCCTGATGATCCCAGTAGGAAATTGAGTACTAGCCTCTGACTGCATTTCAGACAGCTCGCATTTCTGTCGGAAAGCGCCACTTTGTATTTCAACTGTTTCTATTCATGAATGATCCCCTCCAGAACAGGTAGGCTCCCTAGGGACTGTGACTTGGATCTCCTTACTTTCTTGAAGGTGAATAGCAGGACATTGCAATGATGTGTGCTTGAGTGGGTTAGTGCACAGGCACATGTATGTAAATACATGTACACATACATATGTGTTATAGAAGTGTGCACACACATGTGAATGCCTCATGCATTGCAATGGAGAGAGAAAGTCATGCGTTCCAGTCCCGTGAGCGAGAGAGTAGACGGCTAATTCAGGCAAAGAAGCACCTGAGAAGGCTTCTTACAGGGGATGATGTTGGGGCTAAATCTTCAAGAGTAAGTAGGAGTTGGAGTACTACTTTGTACCTCCAGGTAATGGAATGCAAAACAGCCTGGAAGCAGGTGGCTCCAGGATGCAGGGTGAGAGGAGTGGGGTATGCACGGAGCAAGGTAGCAGAGGATCACTGCCTAGATGCCATCCCCAGGACCATGCATCACCACAGTGACCATGAGACAACAAAGAGCTCTTAGAGGATTCCTCGAAATAGCAATAGGGCTGACTCTTGGTTTTGGGGACCTTTATTTTCTATCCTTCCAGGAGTGATCAGGGCACGTTTTTACACCCAGGTAATTCACCAGAGAAAAACTCATCAACAGATTTGTAACGTAAACTGGAAGACACATGTGCTACTTGAGATTCCAACTCCAAGTCAGTGCCTTCTCTTCTTGGCCGGGAAGCCTGCTTGGTGACAAGAGAAGACGGTAGTGTACTCAGGGAGACAGTTGAAGGGAACGTGGGTGATAGGTATGAAGGCAAGCTTCTTAGCCACAAATAAGTGACCAGTTGTTGGGAGATACACCTGTGGAAGTAGACTCTTCCTTAGAGCAGCTTGGTCCAGGTAGGACAGGAAATTTTTTTTTTTTTAAGAGTTTATTTGAAACAGAGAGAGAGATTACAAGTAGACAGAGAGGCAGGCAGAGAGAGAGTTGGGGAAGCAGGCTCCCTGCTGAGCAGAGAGACCGATGTGGGGCTCGATCCCAGGACCCTGAGATCATGACCTGAGCCGAAGGCAGAGGCTTAACCCACTGAGCCAACCAGGTGCCCCAGGACAGGAAATTCTTATAGAAAATGTCACCGTTTTTCTGGGCTGTTTTTGAGTAAGCCTCCTCAATCCCATCCCCCCATTTACATTTACTCAACTTCTCCTGACAGGGAGGAACAGGGCAGCCCCAGACTCAGTCCCTCAGCCCCAGTACTGGAGGGACCTGCTCTTTCCTTGAATACCTCTTCTTTCCTTTTTTTTTTTTCTAAGATTTTTATTTATTTATTTGACAGAAAGACACAGTGAGAGATGGAACACAAACAGGGGCAGTGGGAGAGGGAGAATTAGGCTCCTGCTGAGCAGGGAGCCCGATGCAGAACTCAATCCCAGGACCCCAGGATCATGATTGAGCCGAAGGCAGATGCTTAACGATTGAGCCACCCAGGTGCCCAATACCTCTTATTTCTATCCTGGCGGGAGTCACATGGGAGGTCCGAGATGGGCAGAAGATATATCCAGACACTCATAAGGCGGAGTCAAGCCAGAACACATCATTTTTATTGATTCAGTCAATAGTCAATTTAGTCACACTAGGGGTCGGTCCCCCTGGGTTAGGGAGGTTTGGGTCATCAGCATCCAGGTGTTCAGGAACATAGTGGGTAACTATTGGGGTGAGCGGAGAGATGAAAACAGCTCTTGAGAAGCACTGGCTAGAAGTAGAAAAAGGAGAATCTGTATTGGGGAATAGCAAGCTGGAAGCTCCCGCCTCTGCCTCTGAGGTAGTTTCAGGAACCCTTTCTCTTGACCTGAAGAAGAGAACGTTTCAGGGGTTACCAGGAGTGATGGGAACTGAGAGGAAGTAGGATGGTCTGCTGACAGGGTGAATGGTAGAGCTCTTTACAATGTCCATTGGGTTCTCAGATGACCTCAGCTTCTCCTTCTCTGCCTGGTTCTCCCACTGTGATCCCGGAGGTACAATACACCTGCTGAGGCATGTGGGTGGACCTCTGTCTTCTTCTCCTGACACCACTGACTGCCAGCGGGCTCTCTGACTACTCACAGTTCTGAGTTGCTGTGTTTCAAGTGTCACCTCCAGAGTCCCATCCTTACCTTGGCCATTAGCACCAGGGCACTGACCAGCACAGCATACAGGGTGGCCTTCCCCAGCAGGATCTCATAGAGGATGGTGGCAGACAGGATGCCCTGCTGATAGGACACTGCGGGTAGGAAAGAAGAGCACACAGGGGCCTGTGAGCACGTGTCTCTGGCCTCTCCACCCCCACCCTAGGGTCCATGGTTCTCCATGCTCAGCTTCTGGGACAAAACCATGGGAGACGCAGAGCAAGCAGAGGAGACGGTCACTCACCCGAAGTGAAGCCACAGTCTGAAAGAGAGAAGGGGGAGGGAATGGGTGAGAGACCCCATCTTCTAAAGCAGATGGAAAGTTGCCAAGTTGGGCGCACCTGAAGCTAATGCAAAACTATTTGGAAGCTGTGCTTCCCATTAAGAACGAGCCAAACACAAATGCTAACGCAGCAAGTCAGCCTTCTGGTCAGCACGGACCCCAGGCTCTGACTGGGCTTCTCACAGAAGAGACTAGACACAGAAGAGACTAGACTAGACACCTAGACTGTCTTTCTGGTGCTGTGCCCGTGGAGCCATGCCATCCTGGAACTCTGTGGAACGTGGTGGCACAGAGGGGCTGGGGGCACCCCCATCGGTGCTGAGCCACACAGGCTCACACAGTGAAGGGGGCGCAGCTGCAGGGCTCTGCTGGGCTGAGGATCTGGGGGAGGAATTAGCCCCGGGGTCCCCATTCACCCTCATGCTGGGCTTTGGTCTTCCCGCCCTGTCCTGTGTCTGCCTGGGCACCCCCTTTCTGTGCTCAGCTCACTCTCTGCCCAGCCCCCAGACCCGCTCACCTGCTCTGCCCCAGGCCTCGGCACTGACGATCTGGGTGACGGGTTTGGTCCGTTTGTCGTTGGGCCACTCGTCATCGTCCCCGAGCCCGTGGAACTGGACTTGGCAGCGAAAGTGGTTATGAGGGTTGTGCCAGAAGGTAGAGGACACCCTCAGCCGGCTGCTCAGACAGTAGCTGGAGTCATTCTCATCCAGCCGCTCCCTGTAGGGCTGAGGGTCCGTGCTGACCCCATTCTGGACCTCCTTCCCATTCACCCACCAGCTCAGCTCCACGTGGTCGGGGTAGAAGCCGGTGGCCAGGCACACGAGTGTGGCCTTCTGGGTTCGGGAGGTCTCTGCTTCCGATGGTTCAAACACTGTGACCGTGGGAGGTTTGACCTTTTCCACATTGTCTGCAAGGGAAAAGGATTTGGGACCAGGACTGGTCTGACAGCTGACTGGGGTTGGG